CTAGAAGTGCTTCATACCCCTCCACAGACGTTTTAACCGGTGACAAAAAGATTAAACAATTCACATTAGTAAGCTCCTCATAAATGCCCTACATCTGGAAGTCACTGTTCATTCACAACAGCATATATCCCTATGCAATAACACAAGTGCCTTTGGAAGTCTCATGTGGAGCCGTAAACGGCCTACCGGATTATCTATCATGTCTGGAGGACACGTGGGGGTGGGGGTGGGGGGAGAAAGAGAGATCCAGCATACCCCTTGAGGGGTCCTTGCTGAAATAATTCCTCTCCAGTCTCATTGTTTTAGAAGCAGGCTCAGTGCAGGTTTAATAAATGCTGCCTGCTCCCTCTCGTCTCGCTGTACATTACTCATCTAAAGCAGACAACCACTGCCGGGTCACCGTCACACCAGCAAAGATGTCCCCGCAGTCCAGTTCTGGCTCCGGGGCCCGAACCTACACTATATTTTTATGGACACTAAAGTAGAGGTGGGCAATATGATATCATTATCGTGATTAATTATGTCACAATATGTATATCACAAGCATTGTTGTTACTTGCATGAACCATAAAATGGACTTTATAACAACACTATCAAAGTTATAAAACAATATCAAAGAAGTTATATCAATTATCAGTGTATAGTAGCAGCAAACATAATAGTATGAAACAGTATAAGATATGAAATCAATGTTTTCAACAATATAAACTCAATTTAGTTTCAGATAAATGCATAAAATTCTATTCTATTCTCTAAATGCATAAAAAAGAGTCCTTCATGGGTTTCAAATATTCAGTAGGAAGCTAGGAAGCTATAAATGAATACATGAAGAGAGCCATTATTTATTCTAAAATGATTGCAAAGGCTGTATATCATCAAGGATGAAGTTTTTTTCAATCAGAATTTATCACATTTCAAACATGGAGCTCAGCTATGCAGATAGGCAGATAACAGAAAAATAAACACAACCTCTGTAGCTATTTTCAAAGAGACTTTTTTTCTGCAATTTTATATCTATTTTATTTATATGTATATTTATAATCTATTTTATATTTGATGGGCAGAAAATAGTACTTGTGGCATGTGCAAAAGTTTGGACACCCTACTAAATCAGTACTCAGTACCTAGTAACACCCCCTTCATTTCACAGCTTGCAAAAGCTTTTTGTAGACAGCTTACTGTTCTTGTTTTAGGACTTTTCACCCACTCATATCTGCAGAACACTTCCAGTTCTGTGATATTCTTGAGATGTTAATGATGTTCAAGTCAGGAGATTGTGAGGGCTATTCCAAAAGATTCAGCATGCATTTTTTAAAGTAGTTCATTGCGGATTTTGAGGTGTATTTTGGATCATTGTCCTGTTCTAAAAGACTGTTTTCAGCTTCAGTTTCTTGACTATGTCACATTTACTTCCAGAATTTACTGACATTTAGTGGAATCAATTCTTACATCTACCCTTGCAATGTTTCCTGTGCCACTGTCTGTCATACAAGCCCAGAGTATAACAGATTGACTTCTAAATTTAACAGTTGGCAAGGTGTTCTTTACGTCAAATGCTGTTCCTCTTTTTCTCCAAACGTACCTTTGGTGATTGTGGCCAAAGAGCTTTAATTTGACTTAATGAGTCAACAGTAATTGTTTCTAGAATGCCTTTGGCTTATCTAGATATTGTTTTCAATACTTTAAACATTGCCTTTTGTAATGTGGTCGCAGGTAACGTTTCTTTCTGATGAGGCTTCCAAGCAGCAGTGCTGCACAGTAAGGTGCACCACCACTCCTGTGTCAGCTAAAACATTACCACTTCAGACAACTGTATTCAATATATAATATTTTCTTGTTCAAAGAATTTCTGAAATATTGAATAAACCATCTAAAAATACCAAACAATTCCAAACTTGTGAACAGTAGTGTAAGCTGCTATGTATTATAAAGTAACAAGTTGGTGATTGGATATCAGCCCATTATACAATGACCTCATTTTATTTTTTTATCAATTATTTGATATTCCACTTGAAGTGAAACTGCTGCTTTGCTGGTTAATTTTGTCATTCAAACTTACAAATCTCATAAAAAAATTAAATATTGTCACATATCATGTATCGGGGAAAAATAACTTTAAGTATCATGATGTTATGAAACAACTCTAAATTTCTGAAAAAAATAAATAAATTTTGCATGGATGCGTCCAGTCTCACTGGTGCATCAGCTCTGTCCCCTGTGCTGCATGTACGAGTCACTGAGCTAAAGAGGCAAGAGGCAGAAGACTCGCACATGGATACCTCAGAAAGTCTGACGCTCACTCTAGTCTGTGAAAGAGAGAGAGAGTGAGAAATTTTTATCCTCCCACATGCTTTTGATGTATGCAGTGTGTATGATTCTTTGGCATTGGTGGTGAGCACTAGTGCATCAACGACATGCCATGCATCTGAAGCAGCTGATGAAACACACACACACACACATACGCAGCACTTTAATTCCACTGTAAAAAAATTAGAAGTCATGTTTTTCAAATTCCCCTCCACACCTCAGCAGCTTTGCAAAGTATTAAATCATTAATAGGGAATCAATTATTACATTTTTTTTCCTCAAATGAACATTTTGCATTTTTCACGTAGTTGAGCACGGACAAAAGTGGGGGAGGAGGGGGGCGTGCTCCTGTTCAGCCATGCATGTGTGTTTCTCTCGTCCAATCGCGGCCCATTCAAGAGGAACCACAGGCTTAAATACTTGCATTTTAATGACACTCTCCGAACAGCGCCAAAGTGTGTGATTTTCTCTCACAGTCAAAGCCCATCACCACCACCACCACGGCAGCAGATGAGGGGACGTGAAGGAGTGGAGGAGGATTTAAACAACACATGAACCCAGACAAACCCTGAAAATTCATTCACAAAGCTCCAGCCAGAGTGGGCAGATGACTTTTCCTCTCTCCGGGCGAGACGCACTGAGACTGTGTGGGAGTTTACTGGTGATGTCATCTGAATGGATTAATTAGGGCTAAACTTAGTCCTGGATCTGACTTTATAAGCTGATACACTTTACGATAGAGCTGGTTTGTGTTGCTTTGATGCAGGCTTATTGACTAGGATCTTACAGCCCCCCCCCCAAAAAAAATTAATGGGCCTTCTATACAAAAATTACTTTGAATTAAATCTTTCAGTGGTCTGAAAGCATGCCTCTCCACCCGTTTATTTTAATGTTAACCTATGTATTTACATTAGACTACCTATTTAAGAGTTTAGTATTATTATTTCAGGTTGTGAATCTGAAAATGGTTCCCGTACATGAAATGCATTATTAAAAAGGCGGAGATAAAAAGATGTTGGCGCTGTAGAGTGTTGATTGAAGAAAATGTATCTTTCTGTGAGTCTGAGTTGTAAAAGTCTGTCAGTATCTATACGAGGGGCCCAATAAAGCAGTTACTGCCCCCCCCAACAGTTACGCTACTTGGCTCGAGTGGATCGTGTACTGACAGTTATGGGATAAATGATCATCATTGGTCACAGTGTCACTGGAGCAGTGGACACTAAAGCTTAAAATTTGTTTCGAAATTTGTACAACAAATCTACATTTCTGAAAATGTTTATACTTTTGCATTGAAATGTGGATCTCTGTGCTGAAAGCTGTTCCAGCCTGTTTCACTCCTCTTCCGTAAGGGGAAAATATACAACATAATGCAGATACATATTTAATATTTAATATGTGCACACCAGGAGTTGCTGATAAGCATGCACACAGTGCTCTGATTCATTTAAAGGGCCCTACATGTTTCGTGTATTTTGTTTTTTCCTTGGCGTGCACTTATAACGTTTGTGTTGTTTTATGTATGAAACATGGTCATAATTCATTTTTACATGTCCTTTTTTCCAATCACTCTTTATCCCTCAGAATGAAAAGGCAGTTTTTATTACTGTGCCTTTAAGACTGATATATGTAAATAAGCTCTGATCTGATTGGCTGCCCTGTATTGTGTCTAATTCAAAAAGCACTCAGACTGAAACACTGCTTCTAACTTCAGTGTGAAGGGCTAAACTGCTGTAGGCTGTCAAAGGTGGACATATGTAAATTAACTGGTTCTTGTGACATCACAAAACCAGTGAATTCTACGGAGCCATCCTGTATAAATAAAAATAATGCGTGGCCATGCCTTATAAACGTGTGGGAACAAGATCCTAATGCATGGCCATGACTTGGTAAGGCGTGGGAATGAGATAATTAAGTCTTGGCCACAACTCAGTAAGGGGTGGGAACAAGTTCATGCCTTACTAAATCGTGGCCACGCATTATGATCTCGTCCCCATGCCTTACTAAGTAGTGGTCACGCATTAGGATCTCATTCCCACACCTTACTAAGTCGTGGCCATGACTTCATTTTCTTGTACCCACGCCTTACTAAGTTGTGGCCACGCATTATTTTTATTTACACAGAATGTCACCAGTGCGGATCTGTGGAATTCCAGACAGACTGCACAGTTTCGATATATGGGCCCTGTGGAGTGGGGATTGAATGGTACATTTAGAAACTCTACCAGTGTTGAGGTGTTACTTCAAACGCTTTTATTTAAAAAAAGTGAGGGAAATCCAGTTTTCCATGATACGGACCCTTTAATAACCAAACAGGTAAAACACTGTGGTCAGTCTCTTGCCACCCCCCCACTCCTTCTCTCAGGGGCTCACTCATAACCCAGATTACTTCATGAGAAATGTGTTATCTGTGTTCCTGTATGAGGACATTGAGCTGCTCTCTTCTCTAACCTGTTACAGGTGAGTTCAGGCAAGTTTCTCTCCTCAGACGATGAAAATGTTCCCTCACAAGATCAGGTTTTGTTGCTAGGAGACACAAGCATCATAAGGAGAGGCTCCTTCCTCAAAGCCACACAGCTCTCTCTCTCTCTCTCTCTCCCCCTTTCTCTCTGAGCTTTCTCTCTCTCTCACTCACTCTCACTCACCTCTCTCTCTCTCTCTCCCTTTCTCTCTGTGCCCTCTCTCTCTCATCCTCTCCACTGCGCGCGGATCTGCACTCCCGGACTTTCTCGCGCTCATCCCGCTAAAAGGCGGGAGAATCTGCGGCACCTCCGGACTCCAGCCCGCGGGATTCAGCACGGATTATCACGACCACTTTAGCGGAGGTTTGCGGCGATTTCACAGCGCGCAGAGACGCAGCGGTGGATCCGAAAACGGCTCTTCACAATAAACAAAGTCGCAGGTAGCTTCTTAAATCAGAGGCTGATAGAGGAGCACCGTTAATGTTATGACTGTTAGTGATGCATTTCTGAACTCTAATCTGGGCTCGACTTGTTTTACTAATGACAGATGATCACACTCGGAGTGAGTTCACTAACCTTACAGCCCGAGCGGCGCTGCACTTTGCTGGCAAACACGCTGCGAGAGGCTGAGCTGAGAGCAAACTTTAAGCAGCTGCTCCTCATCAGCCTCAACTACAGTCCTGTCTTCCAATAAATCAGAGCCGTCAGAGCAGCAACGCTGAGGTCTAACTGTGGGAGCGAGTGTCAGGCGTGTCTGTGTGTGTACAGTGAAGTTGCGGCGTTAATACTTTCTCTGAACGCTGTCGTTTGCTTACACGGCCGCAGTACAATTTCATAAACTGAATGATTTACATGGACCTGTCCTTTGAGGTCTGCTGTAAAACTTCAGAGCAGTTTAGTCAGATAGATAGGCTGCACGCGAAGACTCGCGCGGTGTTTGCTAGCCCGTTTGTGGAAAGTTTATCTTTTGTGCACAAATATTTCAGTGATTTTTTAATATTTAGTGGACTAACTGGGTGAGAGCAGGCTGCCTTCGTTGGATTAGAGAGCTATGGGTTTGATAGAGAGTGAACTGCAAAACACTACAAAACAATAGTGCAGCCAAGGCTAAGATACAGAGCTGATAGATAAAGAAAAAGATATAGGAATGAAAAAAGAAATACGAACGAAAGAGAAACAGGGAGAGAGAGAGAGAGAGAGAGAGAGAGAGAGAGAGACGTTATGCTAAGTAGCGATAGCGCTATAGAATCTGTCCTCGTGCAGTGTACTTGTTTCCCCACCTCACTCTGATAAGCCCCGCCTTCCTGCGCTGGGACTGGCTAATAGTTCATACCTATATGACAGACTGCTGGTTAGTATGAACTCCTAGTGCAGGAGGGCACATGGGACTAGCCAATCCTAACGCTGGGAGGGCGGACCGTGCCGGAATACAGGCGGGAAAAGAAAAAGCGCGTCTTTTCAGCGAGCCGTTTTCTCCAGCAGTGAGGTGTGTGTGTGTGAGAGAGAGAGAGCGAGAGAAAGAGAGAGAGAGAAAGAGAGAGAGAGAGAGAGAGAGAGAGAGAGAGAGAGAGGCGAAACGTGGCCGTGTGTTTTTTGTAAGATGTTAGAGGAAGACGCAGATGGTACATAATTTATGACGCCCAGCGCCTGCGCTGAATTTTAATATGGCTGGTTTCTGTGTTGTGGTCGAACTATGAGGTAAAACGCAGGCGCGGGAGGAAAAGATAGGAGAATAAAACGCGAAAAGCACGTGATTCTTTTCTGAATGGTCAGTTGAATCATGTCTAACTTGAATGGTACAAACACTATAGTGAGGTGACTGAGACTAAAAATTAGAGGAATAAAGCAGTCACCGAGTCTCCTTCCTTATTGTATGTGAGTGTAGTTTGGTTAAGCTGGTTTGGTTAACACTTAATGCACTTCAATGGCTCATATCCTACATTTGTCTTAATATTTTTGTGGGTTTATGTACCAAAAACCATAAAAATGTAATGTAAGTGATAATAATGTAACATATTTCTTTACATTATTACCATTTACATTATTACATTACTGTTTTCCAACCTCTGATTGCCCCTTTGAGTTAAACAGGCTGCTGTGTATTTAAATGACCTCCTTTCTGATTGGCATGAGTGGGCGGGGCTGAACTGTTGTAGGGTGAACAGGTGGAATAATGTAAATACATTATTTTTGTGGCAAAAAACAGGGAATTAAGAATGGGCTGGTTTTGCTGCTTAGTTTCCACGTGTGGACTTTATGGACGTTATTTCTTTAAACTTTACCATGATTTACATATTACATCAAACTCTTTGATGTGGAAAAAAGTGAGGAAAATGTGGTTTTCCATGATATGAGTAATGGGATTTAATTTACATTGTGTTATTGTTGATGTGTAAGTTTTTATATGTGCTTGTGTTGTAAGGTCTAAATTACACAGTTACAATCAAAATGGTGTCTGTGTGAAGGCAGAAATGGGTATGTGCCTGCACTCAGAAATCAGTTGGAGGAGTTGTTGGCCTTGAATAGAGTAGAGCTCCCTGTTGAGATTTCCGTGTGTGTTTTCGCTTCTGCCTTCCTCTTAACATGCAGTAGGCCTACAGACAAAAAACGATGGGCTGCAGCCTTGCACTCCAAAACTGCACGTCCATATGTGAAGGCTTCTAGAAAAACAGCCTACATAAAAAAATGCATAAATCATTCTGGTTTGTTCATATGCATGCAGTGAATTTGCACACCTGACTGGCCTTTCCAAACTACAGTACATACACCTATGTGAATTTTCTGTTTGAGATGTTTTGTTCAGACCTAGACAGCCTTGGCCTTGGCCTTGAAATGCACTGTTCAGCTCTCAGTGCTGTGCTCAGTAGAAATGATGCAGTAGAAAGCAGTGCTGTAATAATTAGCCATTCAAGAGCATGGCCTGCATAGCGCATGTAAATAAGCCCTGCATACCCCTCACTCTAAAGCACTGAGCATCATGGCTTGTGCTGAACTGTAGGCTGTCCACTGTTCAGATAAGCAGAGAACTGTTCTTAAAAAAAGACAGCTTGTTTTAAAAAATGACAGAATTTAACTATTTACAAATGTAGTACTGTTTTAATACATTCTTAATTGTCTAGTTGTATTGCGTCCTTCTGTGCCTTGAAAGGCGCTGATAAATAAAATCCTTTTATTAAATTATAGACAAATGATACATCGTGGTAGACATGATCTAAATATAAAGCAATTTCATGCCTGTGTGAGTCCTAATAGTTAGATCTTCTTTATCCCTATATGTTTGCAGCTTTGAGAACTCGAGAGATTTTCTTCCACCCACGCATGTGTTCTCTGTTGAGGGAGCCCACCTTTTGTCAGACTGCATGTTTCCCTCAGATGAAGCCCATGGGTATGGAGCTGTATTATCAATTCTGCTTTAGTCACGTACTCAGAGGCCCCATCAGCTTGCAAATGCTTTGTCTCCTGTTCATTAATATGGAGAGAAAATGGTGCCTAAGCCCAAAGAGTGCCATATAGTTTACCGAAAAGCGCATGCATATGCATTATACAGAATGCCACATACCAAGAGCCAAGGTGTGCATTGACAGCAAGTCTCAAACAGCATACCTGCACATTAAGCCTATAAGTATATAACATCTGCACGCGTGGAGAAGATTGAAGTGTCATTGGTATGAGGAGTGCCCCACTGAAAATGATTCCGCAAATGAGCCAACCCTTTTAAAATTCCAGCCAAACAGGCGATAGTGCTGCAATAAGTCTTGCGTCAAAATCGGCAAAGAGCTGTGGTGCTATACATGTCTATCTGCGGGTATGCACAAACAGAAGTGCGAAGAGATTTCAGCAGCCTGTCAGTCCCATTCGCTGCCAAGCAAATCCGTTTCTGAGCAAAAAAAAGAAGAACAGCTTTGTAGTTGTGGAGTGGTTTTTTTTTTTTTGGCTCTGTTTTGGGGGGGGCTGGGTGTTGTTGCTGCAGAGCACAGCTCCACATTCTCCTCTCTGCATCACTCACATGAAGGTTGGCTTTTAAAGGCTAAGCTTTTTACACACCAAATACGTCTTTCACAAGTGCGTGTTGTTTTTTTTCCCCCCAGTGCAACTCATCCCAAATTCCAAATTCATTTGAAAAGCCCTGTTGAGCTTCATTGGTGTAATAATTGTGCCCGTCAGTGGGTGATGAAACGAGAGGGGATTTAGACATTGTATCTTGATGAAAGAGTTCCCTTTCGGCTCACAGCGAAGTGATGAATCGGAATACGTTTGAAGCGCTGAAGGTTTTGACAGGGAGGAACACGCAGTTCCCTCTAAACACTGAGATGAATATCCTTCCACTCAGACATACTCCTGCCTAATGATAGTGATTTTTTGGTGGTACCTGTTTTATGCCAAGCAAGATTACATTTCCTATGCAGCAGCTGGGAGGGGGGGGTGGAGGGGCTATCTGAAAAGGATTTTGTTATTTATCTGATTGTGTGTTGTAGTGCTTCATTTAAACTGTGATCACTGTCGTTTACTGCAGTGTCACCTAACAAGACAAGTTTCACCTAATGCCATTCTGGAGTTGCACTCGTTGTTGTAAAATGGATGAAGTGTTTGTGTGTTTGGGTTTGTTTGTATGTCAAAATTATGTGTTTAAGCTCAGCTCCCTGACAAGGCCTCTCTCAGGGAGCACTGCAGCATTTTCACACACACTCAGCCGTATCGGTTTTTAGTGTGTTCACTCTTGCTTGCTCGCTTTCTATCGCTCTCTTGCTTGCTCTTTTTCTTTTTAGTTAAAAACCCAACAATAAACAAACATGCCTGTCAGTTGTAGTTACTTCAAATGTCTCACTGATACAATGCAAATCCCCAAACAGTAATTCCGAACACTTTTTTTGGTCACTGAATGTGAAAAAATACACAAACACCTTTAAAAATAAGGGTTCCCAAATGGTTCCTGGTTTGAACGTACAGTTCTAAGAAAACCCTTGAATTGGTAGAGAACATTTACATTATGTGGAGGTTCTGTAAAGTTTGAAAATTTACATTTACAGCATTTAGCAGACGCTCATATCCAGAGCGACTTACAAAAAGTGCTTTGTCTATCCAGAGAAAGTATCTTTGCTAGTTACCAATAGGTTAGAGAGAAAGCCAGTCCTGAGCTCAGATACTGCTAGAATCAGAAAGTCATTATTGACACCTAGAGAAAATGTTCTTCATACTCGCACTTCTGATTTACAAAATGGTCCTTATGAACCATTCACTGAAACATTCTCACTGAAACATTCTTTAGGAAACCAGAAGTGATTATTCAATGGCATTACTCAAAAGAGCCCTCTGATGTACCATTATATTTAAGAGAGTTTGAGTATTAAAGGACCCATATTCTTTTCTGATGGTTGTACTTTATGGACCATTTTTAAAGAGCTGCTTTAAAACCTCTCTATATTTTTTAGAATTAAACAAT